TGCCAAACTTTATTCGGGAGGCTAACTCTTTGAAAGTGAATAATATGGGTATCACAAATGATAAAAATAAAACAACCCCGCTATTTTGTTCATTAATAACACACTTTTCAAATAAAATAATTAAAGTCCGCGATTAATCTTAAATTGAATTTATAAATTGCGTTTAGATTTACTGCAGATTTCACTTCCCAAAAGTTAATACGAAAATTAAAAAAATATATACGAGTTAATTTAATTTATTTTATAATTATGTATTTGTTACTGAATATTTTGCACATTATTTTTATACATAAGTTATTGTAATGTGTATTATAATTGATTTGAATACTGTATTTATATTAGCCATAAGTTTTATAGTGAAATAGTACTTTCAGTTTAAAATATCATATATTTTAATGAAATCCTATTTGTCATTCAATTTTAGGTAAAAGTATTTAAATCGAAAGGCGCGGACAGGAAGCATAAAACAGATCGGGAACGGCTGACCAAACAGCCGGACAGTGCCCTCTACTACCAGCCCTCATACGACTGCACACTATTCACGTTATTCAGCGAAGACGACGTATTTCATCCGACATCCAGTTCCCCACCCGATAGCGATTGTCCGTCTACTCACTCCATCAGTTCCACTCATTCCTCGTCAGCCATCACCGCATCAGACATCACACAGAATATCGCCACCTCTTCCACCACATCCTATCAGTCCCCACAGTCTTCACATGTAAGGCCCTATCAATTATAGCCAACCCTCCCATTCAGTGAACATATTGTAGAGAATACTCTATATTTCCTTTAGATTCCTAAAACAATATATAAATTAATATAAATTATATATAAATACTGTACCTGTGTATAGTCTATTTTAACATAATTTTCTGTATTTATACAGTTGTGTAGAATAACTTTATAATTCTTTATAGTTTTTAAGGCTCAGAATATTCTCTAATTAAGTATATTTTAAGGAATTTATTAAATATTTTATTAACAGTGAAGTTTTCATACGAATTACTAATTTAATTCTCAATTGATTAACACAAGTAATTATATTTTTCTTGATAGCCATCTGACGAGTGCTTACCATCAGTTTCATCGGGCAAAACAGGCCTCCCCTCCGACGCCACACCTACCGAGACGTACGAATGGCTAAACCGGAATCGTTTCCATCGACTGACGGATGTGTTGATGAACTTCTCGTCGGAAGACTTGAGACGATTATCGCGCGACGATTTAATCCAAATCTGCGGCCTTTCGGACGGCATTCGGTTATACAACACGATTCACGCCATTCAGAGCACCACCCGATTGACTATCTTTGTTACCACAGATGGGAAAGGTATGTAATCCTCACACTCGAAGTCATTATAATGAACCCCTCTATTGCTGAGATATTCATTAGATGTTTGTAGGTTTAGGTGTTTAGGAATATTCTGTAATGTTTACTGTGATTCCTTATGTTTGTGAATTAGCACTAAAGGGATATTCTTTGTATTGTCTTATAGTCCACAACGGAATCTACTTGAAGTCCTTAACTCATGAGGAGCTGCGCCACCGTCTCATCGAAGCACTGGGTATTACCGGCATAACTGTCCGCAACATATACCTCATCGGACCAAATGATATCAGGATTATGTTAACCAATAATGTGGTCCTGAATATGAAGAATGAGTCCATTTATAGCTGTACTATAGATAAAGGTTTCTATCAAATACTTATCATTGATTTCTAATTATTTTTTAATTATTTTCTGTCTATTAATTACAGATCAAGAAGAGTATGATTTAGTGCTTCAATCGACTGCCGGCTATTAAGCTATTTAATGGACCCTCGCTATAGTGAACAACTCATAATCAGTTCATTTCTACTCTACTTTATATACTAGTTATACAGTGTATTTTAGTGCCATTAATTAAATTCTTAATTAAGTGTACACTATAGATTAACAAAGTTTGAAACTTTACTTAAAGTACACTATAAAACATCGTAGTCACCTTTGTACACTATATATAATATACTGTAATGGTTTACTATAAGACTTCGAGTCAAAAATCAGAGATTTATTATTAGACTTAAAATAACTAGTATCACAAACATAACAGTACACTATTAACTCGCTATTTTTGACATAACATTTGTATTTTGTACACAATATTTAATACTGAACACTGTTCACTATACGAAGAGTTAATGTATTTTAATATTTATACCTATATTTGATGGACAATATTTATATGTGACTTATAATATACATGTAGTATTGTATATAACGTTAGATATATGTTATACATATATCTATCATGGATTCAAAATGATATCAAACCAGACTTAAAGTGCTTACAAACAAAATAATTACCTCATTATTATAAACTACAAGAGTTTTGTGTCATATCAGCCATAAATTGTCGTTAAACACCATATATTTTCATATAATTACTTAAAAACGAAATATCGTTATTGTTATTCATTTTAGCTGTATTTATATTTTTTGTTAACATAACTAATGTTAGGCATTTAAACACAAACACTTTTAAATATGTTACTGTTAATGTATTTTTAAGTCCAAATATATCGGGGTTTAAAAGTCTTTACAAAGTATATATTGAAGTATACTATTTAGTAATGACTTGTAACTAATTTTTAACTATATTTTCAATATTGTTATTATTATTATAAAACAAACAGGAACATTTATGTCCAAACTTATTAGAAATGATACTGTTTAAATAAAAATTTATACAATGAGTTAACTGTGTTTTATGAAAATATAATGATAAGAAATTGTGCGAAAATAATATAATGTTTGTCATTGACTTTAATCATACGATTCTTATATTATTATATAATCGTAATAATAATGATTATATTTATTAACCATATTATGATAAAATAAATTTTTGCTCAAATAAAATATATAGAGATTTCTGTTATCTGTTTGGTATCACAATATTCATTACCATATACCTGTACGTGATTAAATAAAACAGAAAATTAT